TTCATAGCCTTGAATTACTGGGTCAGAAATGTCATTGCTAACTGTATTTGTAAACTTGTTACCCCTAAAAGCCTGCCTCTGCCTCAAAGCAAGGGACAAGGTCTTGTTTTGTTTCTTTTGATAAACAGAATATTGTTTGTTGGCTCTGAGACAAGAAATCTTAAATTTAAACATCCTTTTGTTTGCTTTTCTCAGATAACACAGGAACAATGTGAAGGCGACTCAGCTAAATGTATATATTTTGATGGTGTTGGATATTAGGGTCCACGATGCTCTTGGCCTTTAGATTTTTTGCATCGCATTAATATTACGAGGGGGCTCTGATGATTATTTAAATAACTACCTGTATTTTTTGCAAAGCAACTACAGTAGTATAAATAAAAATGGTAGAAGTATTGTATGAATATTTAAAGAATCAAGACCCTATTGATGAAACAGGAAGTTTTTACCAAGGTCAACTTACTTTCATCTCTGGGCTCTTCCTGGTCAAGGCAAAACGAAGCATGGCAGGTAATGAGCACAGTGCACAGCTCTGGACACAGGTGGGGATTTGGCAGCCAGTCCTCATTATTATATCAGACTAGTTATATAGACTTGTTTCAAAGGCATTAAACATCATAGTGGATGAAATATTTAAAACATTTATAAGTAAGAGTGTGAGGTGAGTGTAGGTATCTGTGGAAATATTTTTATCTTCCCACGTTAACAAAGCTTGGGAAAGCTTTTCCTCCCTGCACATTGAACTAAGTATGGTTGCATGGATTATCTTAATTTATTTCATAACAACTTTCTGGGGTAGGTATTATTATTATCATAGCCATTTTGTAGATAAGGAAACTGAGCCTTAGAGTGGTTTTACAATTTGGCAAGAGCTACATAACTAGAGAATTTAGGAGGTCTTTAAATTAGATTAAAACTGGAATCATACCAATATAAATGTGATGGATAGGAAGGTATAGATACAGAAATACAGAAAGCACACACGGCTGTGCTTATTTGCAAACATCTCTATAAGTACTTAGATGTAGCATTATTAGGTCAAAGGTATTTACATTTAAAATCTTGATAGCTGTTCTCAAATTATGCTTTCCCCCCTCCTTTTCTAAGAGTATTCTTTTTCCTATATTTTCACAAACACTGGACGTTACAGTCTTTTTAAAAAGCAACATTATATTTCCTTGTTGTAATTTACATTTTAATTTTTAATGACTTTGACATCTTTACATCATTTCCTGAATATCAGTATTTCTTTGTTGAATTCTCAATTTTATTTTCCGTACTTATATATGCAGTTGTTATGGTTGATTAAAGCCTTTTATATATTATGTGTATTAATATTGATATTTGGCAATATTTTCTTCTAATATTTGACTCATAACTTCGTAATGGTATATTTTGTTGTCTAGAAGTTTTTAGCATTGATTTTTTTAAAAATTGCACAGTATTTAATTTGTACAAGTGTAATCAAAGAAGTTTGTTGAAGAAGTACATTAGTTCTCCTTACTCAACTCTACAAGGTGCTCCAATTTTAAAAAGATGAAAAAATGACTCTTGCTAAAAATAGTTTGAGAACTATATCAGTCTTGATTGCTGAATATCAGACTACACCAAAATCTCAGTGGCTTACAGCAAACATATATTCTGGGTCCCAGAATGAAGGTAGATAGAGAAGACCTGAACCCGAGAGGAAGCCTGGAGTCTAGCCTGACCCAGATGAGCTCAGCTTCGGTCAGTGGACCTGCCACCAACCTGCACACCAGGGAACATGAGAATATTTGCACATGTCATATAAGCATTGCTTTTTAAGCACATCATTTATTCATTTGCTGTAGTATTTCTAGGATCTGTGGCTTTGTAGGAAGTTTTTCTCTAGCCTTTTAAACATTGTCCCATATACTTTTTAACACTTTTATAATTCTTTTGTTCTAATAATCTGGATTTAACTTTTGTTAATGATATGAAATAGGAATATTTTCAGATAGCTACCTCATCCTTTCCCTTCTGTTTATTGAATAAAGCACCCTAACTAATTGGAATAGAAAAGCAGAGGAGTGGAACAGAGTAGAATACAAAAATCGATCTACCCTGAGACTAAAACAACATTACCTTTATAAATGGAGTTGTATGTTTCGATATTTGGTAGGGTATGTTTTCATCCTAATCTCTTTTCAACAGCTTGTTAGTTTCCATGAAAAGTGTAAGTGGGAGGTTAATGTCGATTGTCCGGAATTCATAAGTTAAATTGGGGCAAACTAACATTTACAATAATTTAGGAATATAGGTGTCTTATAGTATTAAGGATTTTAATCCAGGAACAAGATATGGCGTTGCAGGCATTCAGGGCTTTGGTGTTCTTCCATTAAGTTTTATAGGGAAGAATAATCTTGTATATTTATAATCAGTAATTCTTGGATAGTTCATAGTTTCTGATCTTTTCTGTTAAACTTCCTAATCCATTGTGCGTGTGTGTGTATTTTTTATTGTTACTTTTCTAAACTCGTATTAGATCATACTGTTTTTCTGTTAAACCTTTTGGATCCTCCAAGTAAATAATAGCTTAATCTGCAACTAATGAGTTCTGGGTTTTCTTTGTCATTTTTTTATAGTTTTTTTCTTGTTTGCCCACATAATTTGCCAGACTATAAGCAAGCTGAAGATGAATGTATCTTACATTATTTATTTTCTACAGAGTGAAATGGGGATGTGGTCATTTGATTGGTAGATGCCTCAAAAATTATTCAAACTACCACTTTCCAATCTGTAGTCGTGTAGTTCTTGGTTTGTTTTATTTGATTTCAGCATACACACAGATGAACTGTATTAAACTAGCTGATTGGGAAAGAACATTTGAAAACAGAGTGTTTTGGGATCCTGAAGAATCAGGAAGGTGTTAATTTATTTGAAACATTTCTCCATACTTATATTTTTATCTGTATCTATTTACACAAACATACATATTTATTCATTGACTTACTGTATAGTAGCAAAATTGAGCTCTATTCCAGAATGAATATCATTTAAGCCCTTTTTCTGCAATCATATACTTGGACCTATTAGCAGAAGTAGACGAGTGGCAAATATTAATGAAATAATTTTCAGTCATTGCTGCCGGAAGTTTCCAGGACATATAAGTTCCATATTGGCTGACTTTTTTGTTTGTGTTATTAAGATTTGCTCCCCTAGGCATGTTACATTGTAGTCCCCTAAACTATTGATGTTTTCCAAAAGATATAGATACAGATTTTGTTGTTGTTCAGGGTCTTATATTTGAAATATATCTTCTACCTCTTCTACACTCAAGTATATGAATCCTTGTTTGTCCTTTAGGACTCAAATATTTTCCCCTCCATAAAATTCTTCCCTTTCTTGGGCAAATAAAATTATTTGGTATATACCTCTGTTACAGCAGTTCTCACATTATATTGTAGTTGTTTATTTTGATATTGATGTTCCACTTAAGCTGTGAGCTACTTGAGGTGGTGCCTTCTCCAATGTATAGCACAATGTCTGGCATAGAGTCTACATTTTTGATGAATGAATAAATGTGAATAAGTGATTACCAAAACATGTAAGGAAAAGTGAAAGGTCTAAGAGAAAATCACAAATCTGACAATTTAAGAAAAATATTAGAGGGTTCTATACAAGAGGCATAGGAAGAAGCATATTTTATGAAAAGATTAATTTATAAAAGCAGCAAACCCCATTTAGGAATGTGCATTTTGATGTTGTAACGTTTATTATGGTGAAGAAATGCGGTAGAGACCAAGCAAGTAGCATGAAGCTGTGAAAACACGTCAAAAGTCAAGAAGAAAAACAATTCATTCTGGTACAAACCCTATAAATGACATGATTTTGAGACGTATATACCATTAGGAACCACGCTACATCTGCTTCTATGTATGCAATGTGTATCCCTGATTTATAGGTTACCATATAGAGTATACAAGAGTTTCCACTTTTCCAATAATGTGAATGTGAAGTATACCTGGACTATCAGGGCCAACTTTGCAGGCAATGGACTTGATTTCTTTCATCTCTGACTTTCTGTTGTGCTTTCTATTTTTATGTTAGCTTTTTATGTATATATGTATTTTTTTAAGAAACTCATTCCTAGTTTTTAAGATTTGGGGGACAATTTACAGAGTTTTTAAGGCACACAATTTAAGTACCTAATAATTGTTTAATTGAAAACGTCAGTTTTATTATACCTATTATTTGGCCTTGATGAATTATAAGTTTCTTTTAAATATTCTTCAGTATATTAAGCAAGAGATTGTATACCTATTTTCAGTTACTTTTCAAATAAAACATTTCTTATGATTGTCTGAAGACCACATTTAGTAATCCTTTGAATGATTTGGATAGGAAAGAGCTAGCCATCTCCTATTTGTTCAGGTGCTCTTGAGCAATATTTTGATAGTCATTACATAGAAAGGTTCAGTGAGGATTTAATTTAAGTCTGCATGCAATAAAATGAGAGATGACAAATGAGAGCTTAACATAGCCCAGTACAGTATAGAATGGAAGTTAGTTTCAGTGATTCTGGGATTGAAATGCAATTATGGCACTGACACGCTACAGTGTTGGGGCTTGTACAGGTCATACCATGAAATAGGCTCAGTGTGGGTGTTTGCTTTGGTAGCTTCAAGATGCTTTACCTTAGTTGTATCAGGAACTAGCATTGTAGCTAATATGGTATACTCTGATTCTATGAAAAGTGATTAATATTGCTATCCAAATGTTTGCTGTGGCTACTTTTGTCTCCAAAATTGTTAAAAGTGGTAGAATGACTCATACATTTCTTATATTTTTAAGTTATGTTTATTCTCATTCATTTTTTTCTCTTAACACCTCAATTGATTTTAAAAACAAAACAGTTGCTTAGATGAAATTCATGATACAAAATTTTTAACTTACATACTTTTGGATACTTAAATTGTTTTGTAATAAGAAAGCTATCTTTTGGGGATTATCATCTTTTTGTTGATCCCTTCCTGCAGGTTTTCAGCACATACTCCAATGAAGACTATGACAGGAGAAACGATGAAGTTGACCCTGTGGCTGCTTCAGCCGAGTATGAACTTGAAAAGCGTGTAGAAAAGCTGGAACTTTTCCCAGTGGAACTGGAGAAAGGTAGATGAGCTCTACAATGTTTATATTATATTCTTATACTAATAATACAGAAATGACTTTATTTTTCCTAAGTGTAGCTTTGTTTTCCCTAAGGATTAGATCAAGTTTTAATTCTCATGGAGGAGTTTATTTCTTAAATTTCAAAAATAGTTGATATAGATTCTATATAGATGGTGGATTGAAAGATTCTCTCCGCCCTTCCACTCCCAACTGAAACCCATCTACTTGGCTGGCTGGTGGCCAGGAGCAGGCAGGCATGAATGAGGCATGGTGCTCGGTCAGTGCTACTGCAAAGGGCTGGTGATGCGAAAGCCCAGAGAGCTGCTCTAAGTGAGAGCTTGGGGCGAGTGGTGGCTTTTGTTTTTTTTGGTGGAGGGAAAGCGGTTATGGTTAGACTCTGAGCGTAGTGGATACGGGGAGTGCTGGGCTTTCAGAAAATCACAGATTTTGGAATGAAGACAGTGGAATGCTCTTCATCTGAGGGGAAAGGGCTAACGAAGAGCCAAGAAACCTGGAGCAGAGGGGCTTCCTGCTGAATTCTCTCTCTGGGGTCATAGCCGGCATGCTGCAGTAACTGGGGACCCACAGGACCAGAGGCTGCATGTTTACTGTCATGTAAGACAGGAAGCTGGGAATTAGACTCTGACCAATGAACAGAAGAATGTTGCATCTCAGAGTTTTTGAAAAAAGCAGAACAGATAGAAACAAAGAAACAAAAAAACATACCCCACAAATAAGGATATTAACATATGGCTTTAAACAGACATTCTTAATCAAATTAACAATAAAAAAATGACGATTTTTAAAAAGAAAAATGTCAATAAAGGAATTAAAGAGGAAAGGACAGTTATTGTTGAGATCAAATTGGTGACATAGAAGTTCAAGCATAAGAAATGTCCCAAACCAATTCTTAAATGATAGAGCAAAAATCCAAGGAAAATTTTCCTCTACTAATTGTCTAGTATGTCTCTCATCCTCTGTTGCCATTTCCCCTTCTTTATATGTTGGGTCTCCATCATGATTAATGTGGGCAAGAATTCAGCCCCACAGCTAATTTTTACATACGTAAGAGAACTCGTGGACAAGAGGAGAAAGTTTATACCCATGACCAGCAGGGAAGAGGCTTTAGCACAGGCCCAATGCTCGTGTGCACGAGAAAACTCATCTGGGGAGAAATCCTAAAACTGTAGTGAACATAGGAAACTTTTCAGCAAGAGAAAGCCTCCTGATGAACAATTTGCACAAAATAAATATGGGAAGTCACATGTATGCAAACGTTCTCAATATAAGAAATGAAGGAAAGTTTCCAGCCATCACTCCTCTGTTAGTCAACATTGAAGTTCTCACGTGGGAGACACATCTGTGCCTACAACCACCGTGGAGGTGTCTTCAGCTGGGGATCACATCAGACGGTGTCTCCAGGGAGAACACTCTATAAATCTTTCTTTAGTATACAACTGAGCAAATAAATCAATCACACTTTTGCCAAATGACATGTTATTTTGAAACATCTTTATTTAAGATGTAGGATTATGAATTGTACTTAAAAATACTTAAAGCAGAAGTTGGTGACAAGTAATGATTAATGAGATGAATCCTATACAAAAGATTACTAATTAAAAATACTTACTAAATGAAAGATTATTTCTAAAAAGTCTTTTTAAAGCATCAAGCCTTCTGTTGAGTACATGAGCCAGGATTCCTTAAATAACCAACCACTGCTGATTAGCTAGTATCTATTTTTTTAATGCATCTAATATACCGTAATTACAGAAAATTTGAGGCTATCAGAAAATAACTTTCTTAACCAAAATGCATGGTATACAAAATAGTGCATCTTTTATTTCATTGATGTTAAAATATATATGTTCATAGAAAGAACAAAAGGAAATATGCATAAGCACATGATGTGTAAGTGAATTAGAAACAGGGTGTTTGTCAGCGTCATTCACAGGGCCTATAAAATGGAAACAAAAGTAAATACCTGTCAGTAGAGAAATGGTTGGATATGTTATGATTCCATCTCACCATGAAATATTATGCAATCACTAGAAGGCATTTAAAACTATGTAAGCTGATACTCGTGACATATTATTGAATTAGAAAAGTAAGCTGAAGAGAGAAGTAGGTATCATATGATTTTATTTGTGTAAAGCAAATAGGAAAGAAAAGCAAGCCATATGTATACTGTTGTTGATACGATTATATCCTTACATAGCAGGACAGAGAAAATACTGAAAGACGCAAAAACACATACCTAATCTTATTAACATGAATGGAGATATGGAACAAGTAAAAAAGACTATAAAAATAAAGGGGAAATTCCAGATATATTATGATCACATTTATTTAAAATAATATATGTGGCTCAGCCAGGAAAAATTGAGTCAGAATGGTCAACCTAGAGTTATATTACTGTAAAATTACTGAACTTCAAAGAATTATTTGTGAAAGCAGGAAGAAAAAATTGAATAGCTACTAGAAGTGAAATCAGACAAGCCTCCAAGTGACTAAAAGACAATAGAACATTCTCCTCTTTTCTCAAGAAAAGAAAGTATGACTCAAGAATTTCATTATCCTCTAAAATAAACAAACAAAGCAAACAAATAAAATGTGTTTGACTATGTATGCTTTTGTGCTTAAAATATATTGTTTAGAGAGGCCGTGTTTTAAGGCAGTTTGATTACTCAATAATCAAAGTATTACCTTTTCTTGGGATCACAGTAAATAGCCAGCTGCAGTAGTAAAATGAGACAAACTCATGAGCCTTTTGGGGGTTTGTATTTGATACTCTTGCTCCCCAGCATAGGAAAAAAATTCTGCCATGGCAAACATATGTGATATGGACTATGTAATAACCCATAAAGAACAAAACTAAAAGGAGCAAATAGGTCTCATCAGTTAATTGCAGACTAGTGAACACTTAGATTGTTGTATTTTTCCCATTTTCATAGATGAAGATGGACTTGGCATAAGTATTATTGGAATGGGTGTTGGAGCAGATGCGGGACTTGAAAAGCTGGGAATATTCGTCAAGACAGTAACAGAAGGTGGTGCTGCTCAGCGGGATGGCAGGTAAGCTAACTACTGTTATTGATACCTAAAATCTACAAAAATTTTCTGAGAATTTCTTTAGTGGCAGCGTTCTTCTTTTGTTTTATTTGGGGCAGAATTTCAGAGTGTGTCTCATATATGGAAAATGTTAAAACACTTGAATTACTTTCTAATTTGTAGGCAGAATACCTGATGAAAATGGGTGGATGGATCTATTATCTATGTCTAACTTTGACTCTCTGCATTTATCTATTTAGCTAGTAGAAAGTGGGCAGAAGCATGGGTGTATATAGTTGAAGAATATGTGCTGTGAACATCAGCATATAGTTTCACCTCAGAAATATAAAAACAAATTATAATAGTTCTGGCACTTTTGAAAAATGACAGAGGGAAAATAGCAACTTGAATTCTGCAATGATGGTAATCTGGTAGGTCAATGTTTCCCAAAATGCGTTCTGTCGAAAAACACAGGTTCCTGAGTGCCACCTGAACCTGTGGAATTAAAACGGTTAGGAGGGGAGTGTGGCAGTCTTCACTTAAACATTTGGAAGTACACCAGCACATCAGACAGTCATTGTTTCATGTCTTAGTCGTCATCAACTCAAGCAACAAGCGTCTTCAGCTTTTTATTAATCCTCACACTAGGCTTCTGATGCCTTAGGTTGGGGCTGAAGCAGGAGGCTAGCAATAGAAATAAAAGTAGACCCAAAAATAGGGGTGCCAATTCAAAGAAATGTCATTTTATTTTTATCAGAACGCTGAATACCAACCAGGCTTTGACTTTTTTCAAGGTTTAAGTTATGTATCACTTAACATCTCAAGAAATAATAAAACATGTTGAAAATCATTTGTGAATCTCTACTGAGACCCGTAGTAGCATTATTTCTTCTGTAATCCTAAAAACACACGTTGACATACATAGATAATTCCCAATGGGAACTAAATGGATTTATTTAAACGGCAGACCACACCGTCAGTGCCATCTCTTTCCATGAGGTCGGTGCCCACGTTTTAGTCAGTAGCCGTGTTTGTTTTCCCATAGGACTTGGTCAGAGAAGGTCTGAAGGGAATGTTTTGAGTGAATACTCAGCTGACTGAATGTGCATGTCTATCACACTTAAAACAGAAAGCGTTCAAAAATAATTTATCAACAGTCCTCCTTCATTTCAGAGTCTTTGAGGAAATAACCTCTTTGCCCCATCAATGAACTATATAATAGTAGTAGTAAATTTTTTTCATTATTAATTTAGAACCTTTCTTCCAAGTGAGCTAAAATGTGTTTGTAAAATCTATATGATTTCTTTTTAAGTTTCATAAGACATTTTAAAGGCATTCTAGTGATAGGAAATTATTATTAGTAGTAGTATTCAAACCATACTAAATTATTATGAACCATCTTAAGTAATTAGACCACAAAACTAAACCAAAATACTAATTGATTAAAAACAGAAAGGTAGAAAATTTGTCATTTGGCACTTAGCTGGTTACTGTGGCTCTAGACTCAGACCTATTTGTTTTTTCATCACTCATTTTAGAAATTAGTGTTATTTTCTATTAACCTATTTACTGATTTATTCTCCTGCGTAGTTTTAGTACTTACACCAATGTGAGAACTTCACTTCATCAGTCCCAGTGTGCATTTCCTCAGTCCTTTTTATGAATGTTTTCCTAGTCTAGTGATTCTGTTGTTGTTGTAATAGATGCTTAACAAATGACTCAGTTAATATAGTAAGAAAGGCAACTTAATGTAATGAAGTGAGCAGAATCTTTGGGATCATGTGACCAGGGGTCTTAGTTCCATTCCCTCTCCCTACAGCTATGGGATATTGAACAAATTACTTAATTTTTATGTTATCTACAGTGTTGTAAGTATTCAGTAAGCTTACGTAAATAAGAAACCCCTTTCAGTGCAGTTTGTGAGGCTGTTCTTGAATGAGTAGGAATAAGCTTGAAAGTTATTAAGAAAATAGTTATGTGAAGTCTTAAGAAAAACTAATATGAAGATGTATAAAATATGTACAATATGTTAAAGTTTTGGAGGCCAAAAGGATTTTAGAGATCTTTCAATCCATACCTTTGATTTTATATGTGTATTAAAATTGAGTATACACACACACACACACACACACACATATATGAAAATAAGTGGTCTCATTATTAGACCTATGGTAGTGTTCGCATCTTTAATATTATTATGTTATTATTGCCACTATTATTTGTGTGCTCATTTGCACAGTATTTAAATTTTCATTATTTAAAAGGTATCAGTATAAAAAAATTACAAAAGGGACAGTTGGTAGCTGCCTCCAGTCAGTAATAATTTTTGAAGTTATGTTATATATGCTTATGGATATAGAAAAATATTGTGTTAAGGATTTACAAAACATTATGATTTGTATGATTCCATTCTTATGTTCATGTTTTCTATTCATGCATTCTCAAACCTACCCTTTCTCTCTCTCTCTGTCTATCTTTGTCTCTGACTGAGAATTAATGCACATCAAAGTGTTGAATGACTCTAGTCTGTGGGTTTTTTGGGGGGGGAGGTAGATTTCAGCTAATATGGAATATTTAATTTTTCCATAGAGAATAAGTAATATTTGCATATATAGCTTAAACTACAACTAAAAATAATGAAGTTATCATCATGTGATTTCGGAAAAGGGACTCTTAAGAACTAGTTATGAACAAAGTTGAAGTTCTGGATTAGATGTACTTTATAGATCTTTTCACTTTGAAAAGGGTATGTCTGTGTTACACCTTTCTAGCTTGCTTTAGGTTGTTAATAACTTTTTCTTATTTCAGAAAATGATTTCAATTTAATCTCAGATGTGGTCAAACTATTTTCAAGGGATGTTGAAAAACAGGCTTATATAGAAAATTCTTTTCTCCTCCTTCCCACCCCAGCACAAGAAGCCCTTTTACTGTGATTGCTTTTACCCCTTACAAACATCTCAGACTCTCACCACACTTTAAGTACTTTTAAAATTTTGCCGTGGCTGTTTATCTCCGGCGTTATCCAGTATAGTTAGAAAGTTTGGAGTCTCCTTATTCTTTGATATTATGGCCCATTTTCTCAGTTTCTTTTGTCAACCTTTTCATGTCTGTCTGTGCCTTTTCATATGATGCCTGCCTGACACAATAAATGTTTGAGTGAGTGAAGGCATGTGCTTCAGTCACTTTCAAAACATTTACTGGGGCCTAACATTTTTCTTTTTATGTTTCTTCTCTTCTTTTTCTTCTCTCCCTCCCCCTCCTCTTCCCCCCACCCCCTGCAACCTTGCTTCCTAGAGGGTAGCTTGTAATTTAGCTGAGTGGCATAACTATATCCACCTTCTGTTTTAGTTCTAATTTTATAGTAAAATAATATTAAATATATTAACCATTAGTTTTTGCTGCCATAAATTTTATGATTATACATAGGACACCTTAACACACTAATTGTTTCTCCAGTCCTCTTTAACGAATCTATAAAGTGAAATGAATTTTATAATAACGCAGTTGAAAGTACTGATAGAATAAACTACGTGGGTGATTACTCACAAAAGATAGTAACAATGCTGTACTAAAGAGGCAAATTGGAAATGTGTTTGGGATCTGCTTTGTTTCTATCTCCTGAGGTGTTTTCTCAACCTTTTGCATGCCATCATTTTACAGCACTGTTCTTTTCAGGTTTGGGGGGAAATATCAGAAGTGAAATTAAGGTGCTAATTTACCCTTGTTCAAGTGTTGGTTTTCAAATAATTTGAATTGTTTTTGACCATCTTTTGGGAAACACCAACATAGAAAACAGTTGAAGAGTCCTGTTCTTATGCAGACCCTGCAGCAAACTCTCCCTCCTGTCATGCCCGTCTGTGCCCTTCAAGCCTGGGACAACCCTAAATGGAAACTGCCGTTTTAATTGTGCCTACCTGTCAGAATTCCTTAGTCCATGGTTTTGCCTCTGTACCCACACTCCTGTGTCACTCTTCTAATCAAATGTTTTGCTTGTTCACCCCTTAGAGAGTTGGGCTGTTCCTGCTTTGATGAGTGTGTGTTTTTGTATGAATTTAGAGCTTCATTATCTAGCATTCTGGGGAAGACTCTGTCAACCAAAGTTCATTACTGTTGCTCCAGCTGGTCTCCCTTTCATTCATTGTTGGTTGCCTTGTTTACATAAGCCCTGTGAGGTAGAGTTTTTGTTTTTGTTTCCCCTTGTCCAATACATCATGTCAATAAATAACTACCCAATAACATTAAACAAACCCCCAAATAATCCACCTTATATATTTTTATTAGCCTTACCCCCTTGGTAACTGGTTTATAGATTCAGAATTGAGGGGTAGCAGAAATACCAGACTGCAGTTGAAGAGCAGTAGTGTTGCACACATGTGTTTATTAGCACATGGAAGCTGTTGAGGAAATGTTCAAGATTGGTTCCGTTTTACAGATTAGCCTGTTACATTCCCATAAATTCTATTCCAGTGGACAGTGTTTCCTGTGGAAAACAGTCTGTTTTCTCTGCTATTCTGGAAAATTTTTGGAAAATCCAGATTATATTCTTCATACCGTGGGCTGGTCTGATGCAGAGAGCTGCCCATTTAATTTTTACTGCCAGCACTCATCCCTTGGCTTTTCTATGCTTCTAATTATGAGCCAAGACCTGAGAGAGATTTTCACTATTAACTGTTCTGTGAGGTTGCATCTAAAAGTTATCCTCTTACCTGGCCAGTGTGATTCAGTGGGTTAGAGCATCCTTCTGTGCACCAGAAGATTGTGGGTTTGATTCCTGGTCAGGGCACTTACCTAGGTTTTGGGTTTGATCCCAGCCCCAGTCAGGGTACATGCGGGAGGCAACCAATCAATGTCTTTCACATCCATGTTTCTCTTTCTCTCTCTGTCTCTCTCTGTCTCTCTCCCCCTCCCTCCCTTTGTCCCTCCCTTCCTCTCTTCCATTTCTTCCCTCCTTCCTTCCCTTCCACACTCTCTGAAGTCAATGGAAAAAAAGTATCCCTGGGTGAGGATTTTAAAAAAGTTAAAAA